GCCCCCGCGCCCCGGCAGCGCCACGACTTCCGCTTGCGTCGCGAAGTAGCGCACGAGGTCGGCAAAGTCCTCCGAGACGAAGCAGAACTCGAACCCGCGCCGGAGCCACCGTCCTCGGCGACTCCAACGTCAGCGGGCTCAGCGCTTCTCAGCGCCAATGTCCATGCCCTCCGGCCCTCCGACTCCTAAACGAAGTCGAGGAGGTCCTCATCGAGGACATGTCGCGCTTCCATGCGCTTCCCAGCGTTGCCAAGAGTCGCTACCAATGCCCAAAACAGGGTTGCCACGGTTCGGTTCGGTTCGGTTTCTGAGAACCGAACCTTAATTACGCGCGGTTCGGTTCCAGTCCGGTTCGGTTCGCACGGTTCGGTTCGGCGGTTCGGACGGTTCGCATTCTGTGCATGTCACTCTAAGGGTACCCTAAACCGTATGACAAGAGCCGTCGTTTCATTCAAGGTATGTTGTGCTCACCTTGTGATGGGGGGTTGAGCCCTAGAAAACCCTAAACCCTACAGCGTGCAATCTGGCAGCTTTGTGGCTTGAAAAGCGTACTCCCGGCGAGCGGGGCCAGCACAAAGAAGCGGGGGAGTAGCTTTGTGGCTTGAGGGGGAAGCAGGGAGGCACGCGGGGGAGTACACAATCTGGCAGCTTTGGGGCTTGAATTGTCCGAAAAGCGTACTCCCCCGCACGGGTTGGGGGGGAGCAGGGAGGCACGCGGGGGAGTACACAATCTGGCAGCTTTGGGAACCATTCACCTAATTAGAGCCCAAAACTGCTTTGTAGGTTCGACAGTTGGGATTGCCTGAAACCTTAAGCCCTGCAGTTCGCATCTCAAGACCCATGAGTGTTTTGGGGGGTGTGCGCCCCTCCAACCACGCCAGGCGGTGGGTCTGGGTCTGACACCCCCTCCCCCTCCCGCCCCCGACCCCCCCCCCCCCCCCCCCCCCCCCCCCCCCCCCAATTTTGAAAACCCCCATATGCATATGCTAGGATGGCCATTAAACAACCCTCTGAAAGAGATTCCTAGATATGATCCTCCCAAACCTAAAAAGGGAAAATCTGAATGCTTAGCTCGGGGCCTGCCGGTTTCAAGGGCATACTCTTGCCAACCGAGCCAGGAACTGGGAGCCCAGCCCCAGGCCCCCCCCCTGCCCCTCCCCGTGCCCCGCCCGTGCTCCTAGGATTTAGTGGCAGTTACTAATGCGTTTTTTCCTCGCGTCATGAGGGGGATTCGAGCCGCCAACCTTTGGGTTTAGAGGTGCACGGCTTATCCGTTACGCTATTGACTCCATGGCCTTCTTTAGAAATATAATTGTAAACGCTTGCGCGCGCCGCCTCGGAAGCCGGGCCGGCCCTAGGACAGGAAGGTTTCGCAAAAAAAGGGGAGGAAGGGGGGAGGGGGGGGAGGGGGGAGGAGGGGGGGGGAGGGCATGGGTTTGGGGGGGGTCCACAGGGCGGCAGGGAGGGGGTGGCATCACAAACTTTTGCGGAAGGGTTGGGTTAGGGGGAAGGAGTGAGTTCATTGTAAATGACCTAAAAACGCGAAACGAATAGTGGCAGCCACCAACTCGTTTTACGGTCGTGTTGGGGGGTTGCCTTTGTGGAGCTCTCAGAGGAGTTTTATTCCGCGACACGAATTAGTGGCAGACGAACTCGCTTTTCAGGCCTGAAAAGTCCCAGAATTGTACTCCCCCGCGCTTGTGCGGTCCCCCGTCCCCCCAAACGCGCCCGGGGGGGAATACAGTTTTAGAGCTTTTCAGGCGTGAAAAGCCCCAGAATTGTAGTCCCCCACGCTTGTGCCGTCCCCCGCCCCCCCCCCAACACGTGGAGTACAGTTTTAGAGATTTTCAGGCCTGAAAAGCTCCAGAATTGTACTCCCGCGCGCTTCTGCCGTCCCCCGTCCCCCCCAAACAGTTTTAGAGCTTTTCAGGCCCAGAATTGTACTCCCCCGCACTTGTGCCATCCCCCTTCCACCTAAACGCGGGGGAGTACAGTTTTAGAGCTTTTCAGGCCTGAAAAGCTCCAGAATTGTACATCAAAAGTCCCAGAATTGTACTCCCCCACGCTTCTACCGTCCCCCGTCCCCTCCAAACGCGAGGGAGTACAGTTTTAGAGATTTTCAGGCCTGAAAAGCTCCAGAATTGTACTCCCCCGCGCTTGTGCCGTCCCCCGTCCCCCCCAAACGCGGGGGAGTACAGTTTTAGAGATGTTCAGGCCTGAAAAGCTCCAGAATTGTTCTCCCGCACGCTTGTGCCGTCCCCCGTCCCCCCCAAACGCGGGGGGGAGTACAGTTTTAGAGATTTTCAGGCCAGAAAAGCTCCAGAATTGTACTCCCCCGCGCTTCTGCCGCCCCCACCCCCCCCCCCCCCCAAACGCGGGGAGTACAGTTTTAGAGATTTTCAGGCCTGAAAAGCTCCAGAATTGTACTCCCCCGCGCTTGTGCCGTCCCCCGTCCCCCCCAAACGCGGGGGAGTACAGTTTTAGAGATTTTCAGGCCTGAAAAGCTCCAGAATTGTACTCCCCCGCGCTTGTGCCGTCCCCCGTCCCCCCCAAACGCGGGGGAGTACAGTTTTAGAGATGTTCAGGCCTGAAAAGCTCCAGAATTGTTCTCCCGCACGCTGTGCCGTCCCCCTCCAGAATTGTACTCCCCCGCGCTTCTGCCGCCCCCACCCCCCCCCCCCCCCCCCCCCCCCCCCCCCCCCCCCCCCAAACGCGGGGGGTACAGTTTTAGAGATTTTCAGGCCTGAAAAGCTTTCCCGCGCTTCTGCCGTCCCCCGTCCCCCCCAAACGCGGGGGAGTACAGTTTTAGAGATTTTCAGGCCTGAAAAGCTCCAAAATTGTACTCCCCCGCGCTTCTGCCGTCCCCCGTCCCCCCCAAACGCGGCGGAGTACAGTTTTAATTAGAGATTTTCAGGCCTGAAAAGTCCCATAATTGTACTTGTGCCGTCCCCCGCCCGTCCACCCCCAAACGTGGGGAGTACAGTTTTAGAGATGTTCAGGCCTGAAAAGTCCCGGAATTGTACTCCCCCGCGCTTCTGCCATCCCCCGTCCCCCCGTTAAACGCGGGGGAGTACAGTTTTAGAGATTTTCAGGCCTTGAAAGCTCCAGAATTGTACTCCCCCGCGCTTCTGCCGTCCCCCGTCCCCCCCCGCTTCTGCCGTCCCGCGTCCCCCCCAAACGCGGGGGAGTACAGTTTTGGAGATTTTCAGGCCTGAAAAGCTCCAGAATTGTACTCCCCCGCGCTTGTGCCGTCCCCCGTATAAACCCTTAAGACATGAACAGCTAGGGGGGGGCGTTGCGGGCAGGATTTTTTAGAAACTGGCCCCAAAAACACTAGGATACCCTAAATTTCTTAGCTAGAGGGCAACCGCAAATCGACCAATATTCCCGGGTCTAGGGTCTTACTTTCTTGTACAATGGTTTCTTATACAATGGTTTTTTTGTATTTACAAAATAGGCCTCAAAAGGGTTTCTACCCAAAAAACACCACCGAATCCCATATAGAAACAACAGCAAAGCCCACAAAAGACCTAAACTACAAAAACTAAACACACACAAAATCCCTGCCCCCTGACCCCTCCACTCACTCCTTCCCTCCACTCCATTCCACTCCACTTCACTCCACTCCGTTGGTTAGGCTTCAGAACCTTTTCCGGTTCGGTTTTCTACGGTTCGTACCCGGTTCGGTTAGCTCTCGTTTCGGTCTTTATCGGTTCGGTTCCCGCGGTTCCGGTTCCCGGTTCGCGGTTCGGTTCCGCGGCTTTCCTGCTAAAATCCCGTAGCAGCCGTAGCAAAGCCTCTACAACGCACTATGCGAAGCGCGACGTTTGGCTAAGCCTGCTTGGCAGGCACAAGGGAGGGGAGAAAAGGTAGGGAAAACACTTGGGCCCCTATGGGACCTGGCCGAGGCGAATGTAAAGGTGCGTGCCGAGACAGCAAAAAGCTGGCCGATGCTATAGAGGATGTGATCGCAGATGCGAAAGATGTGCGAATGTGCGAAGTCTGAAGTGAACTCAGCGACTGAGCAGCTTTCTTGTGGCTGAGGCCTTCCACAGCCACTGCCTTGAGCCATGGCTGGCGCGCTCCAGCACCTGCCCCACCTGCAAGTTGGACCTCTTGGAGAGCTAGAAATTAAGGAAACTCCTGAGTATTCCTGACTGCGATGAGCACCGCGAGCGCCCTTAAGGCCTTAAGACTGCACTGTTGGATGGAAAATATTTGCTGCTCTGTGGATACTGTTACAAGAGCGCAGAGTGGTTTCTTGCTGTATGTTGCTGTATGTTGCTGTGTGTTACTGTAAAGTTGTCGTGGCTTCTGTGGAGTCTTAAGCTGTGAATTGCGCAAAGCCGCACGCGACACGTCAACTGTCACAACGCAACTCTTGAGGGGGGTCCGCGCTGGCTGAGAGAAAAAAAGGAACCTCATGATCAGCATCTGTTGTCGTCGTGGCTATCTGGCTATCCGCATCCAGGAACATCCACAGAATCTCCGTGCGTTGGACTTTTTGCGCTCGGCTTTGCTCCAAAAGGGAGTGGGTCCCCGTCTCGGCGCGGGAGTAGGGCCGCTCAAGTACCCCGCCGAGGCGAGAGAGCACTTTGCATCTCTCCACTGCTCCTCTCCACTGCTCTCTCTGTCTCTCTGTCTCTGTCTCTCTTCACTTTGCCCTATGGCGCCGAGCGCAGTGCTTCTTGAGCAGACTTCACAATCCTACCTGCTCTCTCTTTTTAAGTCTCTTTTTGATGCTTACTCAGAAGAGGAGGAACTCTGCGTGTGATTCTCGCACATGTCCTCGGATGTTGGAAGTACTTTGCAGTCACACCAAGAACTTGCAGCGGCTTAAGTTCATTGCTCATGAGTTGAGATGAGATTGCAAGCCTTGACTCGCCTTGACTGAATGAGCTACTGCAGTAGTCTCAACATGTTGCTCCTGTGACATATGTTGCTCTCGTGAGCAGGTGTGTGTTCGCTGCCGAGCCTTCGCAGAGCGAGCGGGCGAGGACATGAAGGAGACCTCCACCTACCTGCTAGCCAAGCCCTTACGAGAGCCTTGCGAGCCTTACGGCCCTCTCATGCGGTCTTTCAGTCATGCATAGGTGCAACAGAGGGTGGAGAGCATGCAGAGAGATCTCTTGTGCTCTCGCTCTTCCTCTCTTTCGCTTTCCGTTCTCTTTTGCTCTCTTGCTCTCCCTGGAGCCCAGAACCGCGCCAGCGTCCTCTTCGGGCGCCCCTCCTACCGGAAGCCTTCGACGGAGCCGGAGCCCGGCTGCCTCGATGGGCCGGGGGTCCCATTCTGAAGAGTGAAAGTACCCACTTGCTTGAACAAGAAAAACGCAAGAAAGGAAGACACACACACTCTCTTTTGCAAGAGTTCACATGCTCGTCTTTGCATTTCGAGTGCTCTTCTCGCCAGTTGCTTCGCCCGGTTCCTCGGATACCCCAGCGGCAGCACGAAGGCCGCCGTGGTCACTTACGGCGAGCGGAAGGCCGCCATAGAATGCCACAGACGCCGCAGCAGCGGCAGCAGCAGCAGCAGAGAGAGAGAGCGAGAGAAAGGTCAAGCGCGCATTGTCAACCGGGCCTTTCGATCAAACTTATTACAGGATCATGTTGAAGGGGAGCATAAGCCCAAATTAACCCACACAGGAGAACAGAGGGGGGCATTACCCGACTGGACCACGCCCTTTAGGGCGACCCCCTTGGGGGTATGTGCTGTGGAAGGAAAGAAGGTCAAGCGGGCGGGCGGGAAGGAGGGAGGGAGGGAGGGAAGGAGGGAGAAAAACCACATCTTGAGAGATGGCGCTAAGACCTGTACACGTCTGCTACCTGAGATGATTCACATAGTGTCACACAGGCGCACCTAGCCGCTGCCCAGTAGAGAAGAAGCGAGAGAGAGAGAGAGAGAGAATGCGTGTGAGAGAGAGGGAGACTCGAACCTGACCCTCATGCGAGGAAGAAGAAGAAGACGCAGAAGTGCAAGCTAAACTCCCGAATGCCGGGTCAGCAAAGCTCTCAACCGACAAGACAGGAAACAGAGCGTAAAGCGAAGACAGCGAAGAGCATGAAGGAAGCACTCCAAGAAGCACCCTTCAACTCCGCAACAGGTCACCGGCGTCACCCATAAACCAGATTCCTGAGGTCGGGGATACATATCAAGAAGGGTACGTATCACATAGGGGCCTTGGGGTTTGCAGAGACTTGAAGAAAACTGAACAATAAATTTAAAAGGATTTTGAATAATTCAGAATGTTCTGGCATATTTTGGAAGGTTTTGGAGTATTTTGGTTGTTTTAAGGATTTTGTGTGATTTTCTGGAATTGTCTGATGTTTTGTTGGAATTTTTTTAGTTTTGGACTTCTTGGATTTTTTGGAATTATTGACGAATATTCTTGAGTCAAAAGATCTGGAATATGTTTACGATTGTTTTTTGTGTTTTTACTATTATGCAATTTTTACTATGTAAAGTAAACATTATAAAGAGTATGTGTACTGCACAATCTTTCTTATGTATATATATATATATATATAAGACAATATATATATATATGCACAAAATATATATATATATATATACATATATATATATATATTATGCTGATTTATTTATGATATATTCTATATTATACATTTATATTATATACTAGATATTAAATATTCTGCATCACATATTATATGTTGCATGTTATGTATTGTACATTGTACTACAAAAATACATATAAGTAGATAAATCTTATATATATATATACTCCATATATATATATATATATATATATATATATATTTTATCTGTTTTTTATTCATTTATTATGCACTATATGAGAATGTATTTATCTATGTTTCGATAAGACAATATTGTGTTCAGCAATATGATATATATATATATATACATATTAATGGCTACCGCCAGTGCCGCCGACCCCCAACTCTAAACCTAAACCCCAAACCCCAAACCCGAAACCCGAAACCCGAAACCCGAAACTGGAAACCAAACCCTAAACCGTAAACCGTAAACCCGAAACCCTCAACATGGGGGGGGTTGCGGTAGTTCAGGGTTTTTTTGACGGGGCCATGGGAAACGTGCATGGGGGGAAGGGGTGTGTGGGTGGTGGCAGCCATGTGAGATCCTGGGGCCATGAGCTGGAGCCGGGGTCGAGGGCATGGAGCCGGGGTTGAGGGCATGGGGGCCATGGAATGGAGCGGGCGGAGCGGGCGCATGGATTGGGGCCCTTTCAAGTCATCTGATAGGGGCATGGGGCCACGGGGCCATGGGAAGCGTGCGTGGAGGGTGGTGTGTGGGTGGCAGCCATGTGAGACATGGGGCCATGAGCTGGAGCCCCCAAAACAATGCCAAAACATCCATGAGGTGTGGGTGGGAGCCATGTGGGATCATGGGGCCATAAGCCATGAGTGCCAGGGGGTGGAGGGCATGGGCGCCATGCGATGGACATGGGAAGGGTGCATGGGGGGGGGGGGGGGGGGGGGGGGGGGGCGGAGCGGGCGGGCATGCACTGGGGCCCTTTAAAGTCATCTGATAGGGGCATGGGGCCACGGGGCCATGGGAAACGTGCATGGGGGGAAGGGGTGTGTGGGTGGTGGCAGCCATGTGGGATCCTGGGGCCATGAGCTGGAGCCGGGGTTGAGGGCATGGAGCTTGAGGGCATGGGGGCCATGGAGCGGGCGGAGCGGGCGGAGGGGGCGGGGAGAGCGGGCACGGGAAGGGTCCCTGGGGGGGTCATGAGCCATGGGTGGGGGTCGAGGGCATGGGGGCCATGCGATGGACATGGGAAGGGTGCATGGGGGGCGGGCATGCACTGGAGCCCTTTAAAGTCGTCTGATAGGGGCATGGGGGGAAGGGGTGTGTGGGTGGTATGAGCTTCAGCCGCGGTCGAGGGCATGGAGCCGGGGTCGAGGGCATGGGGGCCATGGAATGGAGCGGGCAGAGCGGGCGGAGGGGGCGGGGAGGTGTGTGGGTGGTGGCAGCCATGTGAGACATGGGCCCCGAAAAGGTGTGGGTGAGCCATGGGTGCCAAGGGGGTCGAGGGCATGGGGGCCATGCGATGGACATGGGAACGGGCATGCGCTGGAGCCCTTTCAAGTCATCTGATAGGGGCATGGGGCCACCGGGGCCATGGGAATGCATGGAGGGGGAGGGTGTGTGGGTGGTGGCAGCCATGTGAGACATGGGGCCATGAGCTGGAGCCCCTAAAAGAATGCCAAAACATCCATGAGGTGTGGGTGGTGGGAGGTGGGAGCCATGTGGGATCATGGGGCCATGAGCCTTGGGTGGGCATGATGGACATGGGAAGGGTGCATGGGGGTGGGGGGTGAGAGCGGGGAGGGCGGAGCGGGGGGCCCTTTAAAGTCATCTGAGAGGGGCATGGGGCCACGGACCCATGGGAAACGTGCATGAAGAGAAGGGGTGTGTGGGTGGTGGCAGCCATGTGAAATCCTGGGGCCATGAGCTGGAGCCGGGGTCGAGGGCATGGAGCCGGGGCCTGATAGGGGCATGGGGCCACGGGGCCATGGGAAACGTGCATGGGGGGAAGGGGTGTGTGGGTGGTGGCAGCCATGTGGGATCCTGGGGTCAAATACCAAAATTCCAAAAAAATCAAAAACACAAAAAAACCCAAAAAAGAATAATATAAAAAATATCCAAAACAACAGTCCAAAAACCACCAAGAAATCCAAAAACCCTAAAGACATACAAAAGTACCAAAAGGATACCCCAAAACACCCAACAAAGATGCCCCACAAATGTCTCAAAACACACGAAGAAATGCACAAAAACACAAAGAGCACCTTGCTGGTTAGCGTGTGTGTTTTTAAGGTGTGTTGGGGAAGGGAATGCCCGAAATCAGAATTGCAGACCTTGCCAAACAATAAATGTACATATAAATAGCAAGATGCATCTATGTGTATATGTATGCAACTGTACGCGGCACATGCAAGATACAACAAGCAATCTATATATGTGTCTTATATTACATATATGTATGGTACATAACAGAAATTAACAAGATATATGAATATGTCTATATATATATATATATAGAGTCCGGGGGACTGTGGGCATGCACTTTTTTCTGTTTTTTACTTTCTCGTACTTGATAACTATCGTTCAATCTTCATGTGGTGATCTCTCTCATCTTATCTTCAGGGACTCTTTGAAACTAGGCCATCTGCTGGAAGAGTCCTGAAATATTGGTGTTTTTGGTTCTTTTGTTTTTTTTGTTGTTTGGTGTTTTTTTTTGTTTTTTTTTAGTGTTTTTTTATTTTCCGTACGGATTTTCCGTACGGTTTTGGTGGAGAGTGCTGGGAGGGAAGGGAGGGGAATGCATTGGACATCAATTCATAGAAGAAGAAACGGGGAAACGGGAAGGGGGTAGGGTGACGGGGGCGCAGGGAGAGGGGGGGGGGGAGGGGCTGGGCCTCAATTCACAGAAGAAGAAGAGAAGGCGGAGCGGGGGGGGGGGGGGGGTCGAGGCATGCATTGGACACCTTGTGAGAGGGGAAAGGGCGAGCCGTGGGGGGTGGGGGGGGGGTGGGGGCGGGGGGTGGGGGCGGGGGGTGGGGGCGGGGGGGGCGGGGAGGGCGGGGAGGGCGGGGAGGGCGGGGGGGCAGCGCGGGTCGAGGCATGCATTGGACATCAATTCATAGAAGAAGAACAGGGGAGAGGGCGATTGGACACCTCAATTCATAGAAGGACGCCTCAATTCATAGAAGAAGAAAAGAGGAGAGAGAGCGAGCCGTAGGAAAGGGAATGGACACCTCAGTTCATAGAAGAAGAAGAAGAAGAAGAAGAAGAAGAGGGGAGAGGGCGAGCCGCAGGGAAGGGGGGGAAAGCGGAGATGACACCGGTTCTTCACTAACGCCTATTTTAGGGGGGGTCGGCGGATACTGTCCTGTATTATATATATATATATATGTATGTGTGTGTATGTGTATATGTGTATGTATATATATATATGACACATGTAGAAAATATCTCGCAACCTGCTCTGCTACAATTTCGGTTTAAATGTATCCAGGCCTTTATTTCCTGTCCCGGTTGTGGAACGGGGTACTTTTCTCAGGAATAAAACTGAGATATTTTCTGAACTTCCGTGAACATACAGAATAATAACGAATTATTTCGAATGATTCGGATTTGTTGGGAATATTTTGGATTTTGAATGTTTTGGAACATTCTCCATTTTTTGGTGGGTTTTTTTTGGGAGTATGTCGGGTTTTTTGGAATGTTTTGGATGTTTCTCGAAGTTTTAGAATGGGGAGGCATATCAGAAGGATACATACCAACCTCAAAACCGTTATTCCAAAATACGCTATGTTCTGCAAAAATGCAAACTAGTTCTTCAGAGAAGATCATAGAACTGCGCGACACCGAGAACCAAAACAAGGCACGCACACAGACCACGGGGAGCGCCCAAAAAGCAACAACCCTGAGAGAGAAAGAACACGAAAGGAAAGTCGAGACATCGATAAATGTTGTGCAGATCTGATTATCATTCTTTATTGCAACTGTATTTGCAAGAGAATTGTAAGAAAACAAAACAAATAAGTGGTACCCCCACCCAGTTATCCACACCTTTTGTGCTTCTTTTGTGTTTTTCTTGTTCGGGCACTGCGTATTTCTGTTTTTCGTTCGTGATTTGCTTTCTTTGTCCCCACGTGTTGATATATACGTTTACTTGCTTTCTTTCTTTATATCTGGTTGCTTATCTGTATGTTTATATTGCACCAGTAGAGACCGGTACAAACCGGTACAAATCGGTACAAGTTGTACCGGCCCCGGCCCCTGGAACCAAGAACCAAGAACCAAGATTGCGGGGAGGTCTTGCCCTGCAATCTTGGTTCTTGGTTCTTGGCTCCATGGGGCCGGTACAACTTGTACCGATTTGTGCCGGTTTGTACCGGTCTCTATGTTGTCGAAACATACGGGCCCGTACAAACCGGCACAAATCGGTACAAGTTGTACCGGCCCCATAGAACCAAGAACCAAGAACCAAGATTGCAGGGCAAGACCTGGCTGCAATCTTGGTTCTTGGTTCCTGGTTCCAGGGGTGGGGGCCGGTGCAACTTGTACCGTTGTGTACCGGCTTGTACCGGCCCGTGTGTCTCGACAAG